CTTGTCCCCGTAAGTCCCCTCATTAAAAGCAGTCTGAACGAGCCGGAGGGCGAGCACACACACACATACACAACACGCAGACGCACACGCTCAGCCTCACACACACTGACATTCTTGGTTTAGCTTCATTCAAATGAGGTGATTTAACTGCTTTGGTTAACACAGTGCAGAGCGGGACCAATGTATTTTCTCAGGCAGGACAAATCGACTTGGTTAACAGGTGGGACTTTTTACAGATTTCATTCTCCTTATTGTCGTCTGTCATCCAAGGTTTTTTTTTTTTCGCTTAATTCGTTTATTTTATCAGCTCTGATAAATTCTCCTGATTCTTTTCAGAGGACACCTGCAGAGCACTGCTGCAAATTTTCTCCCTTTTTTTTTTTTTTTTCCTCGCCTAATCTCACACCTAAAGCCGGTGCTCGCAGGTTAAACAAGGGACAAGCTGTTTTGTTTTTGACAGTGCTATTTCAATTGGCCAGTTTTCCTGCTCGACTTAGCCTGTGGAGGTGGTTGGTAGGTAGGCTGGTACTAAGTGTGTGTGTGTGTTGTGTACGCGAGGACAGTGTGTGCAGCTGAAAGCCGGTTACCTAAAAGGGCTGTGCCAGGCCAGGCCAAAGTGGGTTAATAAAAATAACCAGCGTAGGAGCAGCGACAATCCAGGAGTGCAGGCAGAGGAGTTAGAGAGATTCAGAGAGAGAACGGAGAGACAGAGTGGAAGAATCTGTCGCTGGTGGTTTACCTGAGATTAAGTGTTTCTCTCGGTTAAAACTGAATCTGTGATTACTCAGAAATTGCACTTTTTAATTGTAATTATGATCTATTTTGTTCCCTATTTTCTTCTTAGCTATTTTAAATAAAATAATTAGAGAAGAAAACAAATAATTAACAATGTTGCACGAAGGAATGTACGCGTGACTTACAGGAAATGTTTCTGTTGATGTCGTGATTAAGAGTAAAAATCGTATCTGTGCACCGGTGATGAGCTGCTGCATGAAAATAGGAACTGATTTTTATATGTCTGGTGTCAATGCTGCATATTTTGTTGTGTTTTTTTGTCTCCTTTCAGCTACCTTTACATGTTTGAAAATGTTCTTTATTTTACGTCTCGCTCGCCTTGTTTTCACTGACCCACCTTCTCTTGGATGTTTCTTTCACTTGCTCGTATTCTCTGGTTTGTTTTCAGCGTTTCGTACCAAATGTGTTTTTCTCTTCTCGCTCATGTTTCTCAGTTTTTTTATTGGCCTCGTTTTATATAAATTTGTTTGTAGAAATTGTCCTGTTAACACAAAAGGCTAACTGATGATAAAAAAGAAACCTATTTGGTGTCTACACTTAGCTTGAATTTTACCTTTTCTTTCATTTTTTTAGATTCTCTCTGTTTTTGTTGTCTCTCATTTTATATTGTCTTTTGTTGTTTTTTTCCTTGTCGTCTATATTTTAGTTCATGTTTTACTTCTTTATTTGTTCTCAATGAAGCATTTTTAACACTGAATTAGAATCATGCACATCTTCTTTTAACCCATTATAGGTGTAAATGTAAATATCATGGACACTGAGGCCGATATCTAACGTACTGAACTTTAACTTGTTTTTGTGTCTGTGTTTGGCTGCAGGTTATGAGGACGGCAGGATGGAGTTCCCAGACCACAGCAGACATTTACTCCAGTGTCTGAGCGAGCAGCGGCACCAGGGCTTCCTGTGTGACTCCACGGTGCTGGTGGGCGATGCCCAGTTCCGTGCCCACCGTGCTGTGTTGGCCTCCTGCAGCATGTACTTTCACCTTTTCTACAAGGACCAGCTGGACAAGAGAGATGTGGTGCACCTCAACAGCGACATTGTCACAGCCCCGGCCTTTTCCCTGCTCCTGGAGTTCATGTACGAGGGCAAGCTGCAGTTCCAGGACCTTCCCGTAGAGGATGTGCTGGCAGCGGCCAGCTACTTGCACATGTATGACATTGTCAAGGTGTGTAAGAAGCGTTTGAAGCAGAAGGCCACAGCAGAGGCAGACAGCACGCGCAGAGAGGATGATGGTGGGTCCAGCTGCTCTGACAAGGCCGACAGCCTATCAGATGGTTCTACAGATCGACCTGCTACAGCCGACCTGCTGCACAGCGATGAAGAGGAGGAGGGGAAGGCCGAGGGAGGACCTCTGTGGCTGAGGCTGCCGTCTGCAGACAGACCAGGGACGCCGGCCATGGCTACAACCAGCCCAAGGCACGGCGAGGTGGAGACGCAAGGTGGGGAAGGCCTGACGGAGGGAGGGAAGCTGCTCTCCCCGGCCGGCAGCCCCACCAGCTCCACTGGATCTCTCTCCCAGAGGTCCCACCGCTCCGTGAGCTCTCGTGGAGGCCACAGGGGCAGGAGGGTGTCGAATGATGCGGCTGACTGCGTCCTGGACCTGTCAGTCAAGCCGATCGCTGGTAGCAACCACAGTAACCACCACCAGTCCTATTTCAGTGGCGCAGCTACGCCAGACAGCCTCCAAAGCCCATTGGCTGTGAGGGTGAAGGTGGAGAGGGGCGTGGCTTCAGATGAGGAAGAGGAACTGGGAGGTGGGGACTACGACATGGAGCACAGCGGCCTCACCAAGGCCACAGTTCCCAGCACCAACGGGGGCCTGACCCACCACGGGGTCGGAGGGCCTCTGTCGGCCCAGCGGAGGCTCGGCCTGGAGGCGCACCTGTCCGCGCTGCGAGAGGCCTCTCTGGCCTCAGAGCTGGAGCGGGAGGAGAAGCCTCCAGCCTCAGCAGACGATGAGGACATACTGGGCAGTGAAAATGAGCGCGCCCAGGCCGAGGCGGCCAGCATGGATAGCTCGCTGCTGCCTTACGTCTCCAACATGCTGTCAGCTCAACACACCCAGATCTTCATGTGCCCGCTGTGTAACAAGGTTTTCCCTTCCCCTCACATCCTCCAGCTTCACCTCAGCTCCCACTTCAGGGAGCAGGAGGGCATCCGCTCCAAGCCCGCCGGAGACGTCAACGTGCCCACCTGCACCATCTGCAGCAAGACCTTCTCCTGCATGTACACGCTGAAGCGCCATGAGCGGACACACTCCGGTGAAAAACCCTACACCTGCACCACCTGCGGCAAGAGCTTCCAGTACTCACACAACCTCAGCCGCCACGCAGTGGTGCACACGCGTGAGAAGCCGCATGCTTGCAAGTGGTGCGAGCGGCGCTTCACGCAATCCGGGGACCTCTACCGACACATCCGCAAGTTCCATTGCGAACTGGTCAACTCGCTGTCAGTGAAGAGTGAACCGCTGGCACTGCCCAATGTCAGGGATTGGGCAATCGAGGACAGCTCCCAGGAACTGTGGAAGTAGAAACTGACTGCTGGGTTTGATAAAGGGAAAGAGACGGAGAGTGAAAGAAGGGCAGAGAGGCATGGTGAGGTGACAGGGAGGTGGCAGAGTTTGATAGTCGGGGTTTAAGTGAGTCATGTTCTTGTTTGTTGCAACATCTCATTCAATTGCACTTTAATAGCACATGAAAATGTTACTACTGAGTTTTTTTGTTGTTGCTATTTGGGGTAATTTTGTTTTATTCTATTTTATTCTGAACTCTTATTTTTATTTGGCGTAAGTTCTCTTCTGTCGGTGGTTTTATTTGCGTCTAAGGACATGGGTCCCAGTGTGAGGATGTCTCGCCTTTTTGAAGAGTTTTCACTCTGTTTGTGTTTCATCCCAGACACAACACTCCGGCGCTGGCCAGCGTATCGGTCCCATTTCCACAGACAAAAAAACACCACTGCAGGAGTTCAGGTCGAACACACTGAAGTGAAAAAGCATTACAATACACTAAACGGGTACTGTGATCACCGCAAGTCGACGCCACCGCACACACAGTTTGAAGAAGTGTGTGTGTGCGTGTGTGTGCGTGTGTGATACTGCACTACTCTGGCAAAAATTTCACCTAACGTGCGTGAGTGTGTATGAGTGTGTTGTGTGTGTATTAATTTTATTTTCTACTGGCATGGAGGTGTCGTTGGCGAAGCGCTCCCCGCTTCTCTTGTTAAGCTCTTTGGTGTTGTGTGTTCAGGGGAAAGCTGACTGACTGACAGACAGACTAACTGATGGCACTCATGCAATGCACAGCCTCCTTTTTTCACTTCCAATCAATTTGAAGTATTTTCTAAAAATGAAAAGACCTTTACAAATAATAATAATTATTATTGTTATTGATAGAATTTTTTCTTAAATCTAGCTGGCAGTCTTTAAAACATCTCTTGTTGAAAAGGTATTTAATTTAAGGTTGTTGTATATTGTTCTGCTATAGTTTTAAAACTTTAATCCTTTACAATTTTTTTAACTTAATGATTATTATTATTATTATTTTGTTACTTTTTTTGTAATGGGACCTGCTGTTGTTGCATGACGTCCAAACTTGTATATTTTAAAATAAAAATGTGAATTTGCTGTATTACTGTACACATTGTAATTGATCAAATATTTGACAACGGGCTTTCCTTTTTCTTTTCTTTGTGAATACTACTCCAGGGTGCGGTCTGTTGAAAAACTGAATATTATTCTCACGACTATGGAAAAAAATGCATGAAAATTTGATTTTGTCTTAAACCTTTAAGTTGTGGTTTTTGCATCAGGGGGGGAATGTTTGAACAGTACACTTTTGACAGTGAAAAGTTGGATTTTTTTTTTTTTTCTACTCGTCGTAGGTCTGTCGCTGGGCTCCTAGAAGAATGTTACCGAATGTGTTTCCGTCGGACGTTGAAGCGATATGATGAAGCATTTTAAGCCTGTGTTTATATGCACTGATCTCTCTGCTGCGCGTGTGTGTGTTTGTGTGTATGTGTGTGTGTGTTTATGAGCGTGTGACTTGGTTCGTACCAGTCAGTTAAACCTACTGAAGATCTACGTCCACCCAGCACTTCCTCCTCCTCCTCCTGCTCCTCCTCAGGCGTTTTAATGTCTCCAACTGCTACGTGTTTGCTTTCCCATCTCTCGTGTGTCCGTCCTCTCCGGTTCTAAACGTGGTCAAGCCATTTCTTTTTATTATATCCGCAGATTTGGGCTCGTGTTTCAGGTCTGTCGAGTGCAGTTTTTGTGGCTTGGCTAGAAGTGCGAAGGATACAGGGAGGAGAAGAAGAAGAAGAAGAGCAGGAGAGAGGCTGAACCTGAGCTCTCCTGCTGAAAGTTGAAGGGTCAGATATCTTTGTCACACTGTTGCTTCACGTCGAGCCGAGCCGAGCCGAGCTGAGCGGGGCCAATAACTCGACCAGCTCATTTCACATTAGATGCAGTGAATGTCACAAGATGTCTCTGTTTTCCTCTTAATCCTTACTTTGAGACAGATGGGAGAGAATTGGCATGCCTGAATGCACCTTTTTAAGCTAAAAGACAAGAAATCAGATTTTTGCTGAAAAGATGCCTTTATTGAGAAAAAAAAACAACAACATTTCTGATGCTATGGAAGTATTTGATACTGTAGAGCATTGAGAAAGGGGTTGAAAATCAAGTGTAAATTCATGGAATTTATTGAATTTATCAGAAAAAAAATGATGTCTTATTATATTTTGATCATGTGATTGGAAAACTCTTTTTTTTTTTTCTTTTTGTATGTGAATGTTGTGTTCGGGTTGGGGCTACATCAGTTTATTTAGTCTTTTTTTAACTTCTGTATCTCACATTTTTAAAATAATAAGTCAAGCGTTTATACAATCCGAAAAACATTTGACGGAGATACCGACGTCCCCCCCTCCTCCTCCATCGCTCAGATGTGTGTCTGTGTTTGCGTGCATGCCCCCGCTGATGTGCATGTGGTGGGTGGGGTGCTTGTATGTGCCGCCATGTCATCTGGTGGCACCTACAGGCTCTGCCAATGCAACAGTGTGGGTGACATTGCGGCAGTTTGCACCACATCGTCTCGTTTTTTTTTTTTTTTTGTCTCGAAATGTTATTTCTTCACTGGCAGCGTCTCTGCATATGGGCTCCCTCCATCCTGCTGTTGTTTTCATCATTTACTGCTGTTTTCTCGTTCCGTTCTGTTCCTCTGGTTGTACTTGACCGCCTTAAACTGCTGTAGTCCGGGCTGTTTTTTTTTTTTATTTTAAATTTAATTTAATTTTTTAAAAAGTGTGAGTGTGGGGTGGAGTTGCGGGAGTGATGTCAACCGCTCTGTGAAGTAAACACCCTGACAAGACTTCTCCATCTTTTTTTGCTGTGCTTACTTGAAAACAAAAGGGGGGAGATTTTTTTAAAGCAAGGTATAAAAATACAAAAAATACAAAAAAAAAAAAAATTCAAATGTCATAGACAGTTTATGAAAAGACAGATGAGGGGTTGGAGGGTGGGGGTGGGGGGGCGTGAAATAATGACTGAAAAAGGACAATCACTGTCTGGGGGAGAAAAAAAAAAACAAGCAGATTTTGATTGAGATATATTTGCTCCCTTTTGAGATTACAAATTTTCTTTGCTTTTTCTTTTATGTTCCTTTTTCGGATTTAGTCATTTTAGCTTTGACAATCATAGTTGGGTTGATTTGTTTTTTTTTTGTTTTTTTTTCTCAAGGGGAGTAAATTCTAATTGTGTTTAGTTTTGTAATTTTTTGGCGTGCTGTTGTTGACATTTTTAAATTGTGTGCAAACTGCAATAAATTATAAGAATCTTGAAATTCAACCTTACGTGTGAAGTTTTTCTTCAGTTCCGTGTGATTTTTGCTTACAGTAAATTCACCAACTGCCATTAAAATAGTTAGAAGTGAACATCTTTTTAAGCACATCTCTGCGTAGTGACTCAGAGTTACAGGTTGCAGAAGGGCCAGTGCGGGAGGTCTTGGCATCCCGTCCCTCAGTGACTTGTAATGTGGGTGGAAGTTACGTATGTGCATCTGTGTGTACATGCTTGTGTGTTTGAGAAGCTCTACAGTGAGCCGTGCTTGGACACAGCGTGGCGGCCTGCACGCTCGTGTGTGTGTGTGTGTGTGTGTGAGTGCTTGCACAACTCCCGATATATCTGCGGCACTAACTGAGGTGTGGGCTGCATCTGAGAAGAAAATGTGCAGCAGCTTGTTGAGATCCAATCCCCTGCAACACACACACACACACACACACACACACACACACACACACACACACACACACACACACACACACGCTGAGGCTCCTTCTAAAGGTTCTCAAGCACGGGTTTCCAGTAAAGAAATCAGCTTTAGCTAATGTCTTGCTGCTCAGTAAACCTGCTCTTACAGATGCATTAAAAGCCCCTGCACTCAGAGGCCAAGGAGCAGCGTTCATTAGGCCACAGATGGTCTCTTCGGTAAGCCCCCAACGCACACTCACGCGATAAGCTCACTCCTAATCTTTATGACATTGTCCTCCGTCTGATGAATGCCTAATGTTGGTTTAAGAAACTTAGAAGTGTTGAAAAGATTTCAGCTCGGCGGAGTTCAGCCGTTTTTTTTTTTTTTTTCTCCGAAAGCATTTGGATGAGATTAACGTTGAAAATGACAACAAAGCAGAGTTTCTTAAACATGTGACAGTTTTAGGAGGCGTCTTATTGTAAAAGTACGACACTTTTTCGTCAGTTTAAACATCCAAACTATGCGAAAAGTGTTTTCCAGCTACCTGCACTCAGCTCTGCCTTCAGTCGTCACTTCATAAGCAGAAAATACATTAACCCTCTCCTTTGGTTCTGCGCTGCTTGCTGATCATTAATTGCAATCTGCAGCGTTGTAAGTGAACATCTGCTTGTAGACAACTGCTCTCTCTCTCTGTGCGCGAGGAGGCCGTGTGAGGTTTGCCGTGAATGTAGGTCATTAATTTGTTTCTGTCCTTTGTTTACTTAAGGAAGGGGGACAAAGGGGCAGCTGCAGAACCATTTGGCTGTGCCCAAGGCGGGCCAGCTCAACATGTTGGGAGGCTGAGACCAGCTTGGGCTCCTGTCTGGGGCCCGGGCCCCTGCACTCTGCTGCTTCGCGTGAGGGAGCCGACTCTGCCAAGCTGCCAGGGAGGGCTCCCGTACCATGGGAGGAGGGAGGAGGGAGGAGGAGATAAAGAGGAGAGTGTCATGTGGACATGTGGAGGCGTCCTGATGTTTGACTGTTGTGTCACATTTTCAAACCGGCTCGTCTCTAAACTGGCATCTGCAGGGTTTGGCTGGCAGAACAAGCTCCTCAAGTTAGCTGCAACTTCCAGAATCAGCTCCAGACAGATGTTTCCTTCAGTTTTTAAAGAGTACCAAACATACTTTTTTTTCTCCAAACCATATGGATTTTCCTTGGCTTAAATAAACGAAGCTGGTTAAATGTACAGTTAGAACAAAGCTCCATAGCAAACAGGATTCCAGCTTTTAGCCTCGACAAGTCGGCCGCGCCGCACAGCATTCATGCAAAGCGTATAACGTGGAGAAAAGCCTCCTGTATCCCTTTTCATGTCTTAGACTTGTTGATTCTCCATGAAAAAAGGAAACATTCCCAGGCCAGGTCCGGCTACGCGAGAACTGCCGGAGAAAGAAAGAGGAAAGTGTGTGAGTGTGTGTGTGTGCAAGTGATCCAGGATTGTCTACATATTTAAAACAGCTCCTTTGTCAGACACTCGGCCCAGCAGGACAGAAGGCGAGCAACAAGCGGCCCGCCTGCGAGCAGACAATACAGTGGCACTACACTGGCTGGGGTGGCGGCGGCGGCGGCGGTGGTGGTTGTGGTGGTTGTGGTGGTGGGGGATGAAATGGGGAGGGGGGGAGGCAGCGGAGGAGAGAGGGGAGGGTATTTTTTTGGGAAAATCGGGGGGCACAGTGTCCCAGCAAGCCGTCCATCCATCCCGCCGCGCCCCCTCCTCTCCTGGAAACAAAAGGCGACGCAACTCGAACTTGAATATCTGTGTGTCTCTGTGTGAGAGGGGGGCCCCGAACTCTACTTACCCACAACCCCCCTCTGCAACCACCCCCCTCCCTTCCACACACACACACACACACAAACACACACACACATGTATATATATATATGCATACACTCATTAGAAAAACTCACACAAGAGAGTTATTGAGTAATTTTCACACTCTTGCAAGACACACACACACACACACACGAGTAACACAGGTTTATATAACCTGTCATCTAACGTGCGCACACACACACACACACACACACACACATATACACTACACAAAGGCCTCCAGCTGGTCTGTCTTTAGGGCTGGGCTGCGATGGGATTAAACAGTACTTGTCCTTTGTGCGATTCTTGTATGGAAGGAGAGCGGCTATGAACTCCCGACAGAGGAGACACCGAGAACGAGAGAACAGAGACAAATCTTTCAGTCGTAAGGGCTCATTTGAAAACAACGCAATCGGGATAAAGAGTCAAATTAATTGGATTTAAGGTTAAAGCAACGCTGAAGCCCTGCAGACAGAACAGAGAGCTTTTCTTTTTTTTCATCCCTCTCCGTATACTTCTGCCATCCTCTCCCAGCTGTGTGTGTGTGCGTCTGCCAGATAAGGGGCATTAACTGGGTGTGTTCAGGGTGTTGTTGGAAACTGCTGGCATCGGGACACATGTGCACGACTCAGCACTTTATCATCGCCGCGGTGACCTGACGGGGTCACGCGGGGAGGGGTCCTTCAGTGTCACTAACTCAACCTGTCGGGCTGCTGCTGCTGCTGCTGCTGCTGTTGTGTTAATGGCGTTACTGTACTGTCCTGCGTGAGCGCGCGTGTTTGCGTGTTGGACATCTGCCTCACTCGCCTGCTGCGTTGTACACATGTACAAACGCACAAAAAACACACACGCATGACAAGCGAGCAGCAGTCAGCCAGCTGTGGCGTTGTGGAAGAGTCAAGTTCGTTCTCCCCCCGTCATGTCTTTTGCTTCTGCTGGGACGCGGTGGAGACGTGATAAAAGACACACGCGGTGCATTCTGGGTAACAGCTCATGCCCCTGTTGCTGTCTGCTGTCTTATCCGGCAAGTTGCAAGGATTTCATGTGTCATGGTTGACATTTTTCTGCAATAATAAGGAGCAGTGTGTGTGTGTCACATCCAAATGTCAGTATATAATGTTTACCTACGAGTACATAGTTAAACAACCAGTTAGAATTAGGTTTTTAATCTTGTTAACATGTTCATTTGGTGTTTTTTTACACGTTAGAAACAGCACCATGGCTGAGCATTTCCATGAAACTGCGCTCTATTCATGATAGTCTCAAAAGCACGGATTCAGACTTCCTGATGTTATTACGTAACAAACCCAAGGAGCCGATCCTGTCAACTTTTAATCTAATTTAATGTGCAATATTTCATTATTAATATTACTTTACTGCCTCGGAATCATTGCCAGTGTTATTTCTTACTATTCTATTCTAGTTTAGCTTCATATTTTTAGTAATTAATTGTTCTTTTATCTTATTGTTTTTCTACTGGACACTCTACATTCTTATGTAATTTTGCTTTCTTAACAGATCTGGCACGAGCATTTTCTTCAGGATTAATAAAGTTCTATCTTGTCTTATTTTATCTTAACTTTCAGGGTGGAGCTTTACGTGTCGTTAATCTGTTAATCTGCCAAACCAGTTGCCAGTATAAACATGCATGGCTGAGTAGCTCTAGTATAACAACTTGCCATTGTGCAGTCTAGAATAGTTTTACA